TCTCTGGCCTGATGCCCTGTGGCCCTGCATGCTGCTTTATACCACACTTTAGGGGAGCACATGTGCTTTGGCATACATTGTCCTTAGAATCAAGGTCAGTTGGTCAACATTTCAAAGACAAGGTCAAGAATCATGTTGCAGCTCTAAGAGGAAAAATGAGGAATTTAAATTAAAAAAACTGGTTTTAAATTCTGGCCTTGAGAAACCTATGGATGCTCTATGTTTTAAGTATGCAATGTTTGGGGAAAAAGACATATCAATTTACATGAAGAATATATGAAATAAATATATGAAGAAATTACTATTTGTATCATACCAGGTTATTGTAAGAGTTGAATCAAAGGGGAAAAGTCATGTGAAGTTTGAATCATTGATTCGTTCATGCATTTACACACTCAGGAAGCCCTTACTGAGGGTCTATTTTGTACCACGTAGCACTGCAGTGATCAAGAAGTCTCTGACCTTAAGGGAGTCCGACTATGGTGAGAGAGCCTGAAGGGCTGCTGTTTGTCAGTCAGCATTAGTATGGGAGAGAGGGATGCCCAGTGGTGGGCAGAGAAAACTAAGGAGGTCAAATTCAGGTCAGCCAGGCAAGCTTCAACAATATAAGAGAAGGGTTTTTTTTTGTTTGGTTGGTTTTTGTTTTTTGTTTTTTTTTAATCATTAAACATTGAAAAAAAAAGTTACCAAAGTGAACACGAAGATGCATAGATCTCTTTGGGCCCTTTCTCTCATAAGTCTCCCATTTGCATACCTCTCTTTGAAGACATTCCTGGTCAGTCTGTAGAAACAAGACTATAATGGTTTGTCATGGACCATGGCTGAGATGGCTCCCAGTTGCTCCAGTTCCCAGTATCTGTACCCTGTATACCCCTCTCCCTTGAAATATGGGCAAAAGCCGTCACTGCATGAACTAACAGAACGTGGGAAGGATGATGAAATGTCACTCCCATAATTACATTACAGGAGAAAACATGTCTAGTTGGAAGACCCTCCCCACCGCTAGCTTGAGAAAGCAGACTGCTGTGTTGTCAGCTTCTGTACAGAAAGGACCACATAACCAGGAAGTGATTGTAGTTTCTCTAAGAAATGGACCACGTAACCAGGAAGTGATTGTAGCTTCTCTAAGAAATGGACCACGTAACAAGGAAGTGATTGTAACTTCTGGCCAGTAGTCTATAAGAAATTGAGGCCCCAGGCTAATGGGTCCCAAGGAATTTAATTTGGCCAACAATCACATGTGCAAAGAAGCCAATCCTTCCCCACCCGAACCTTGAGATGAGACTGCAGCCCCGGCCAGCGCTTTGATGGTGGCTTCTGAGACCCTGAAGCAGATGACCCAACTAAGCTCTGCAGGAACCCCCGATCCACAGAAACGGTGACATAATAAATGTGTGTTGTTTCAAGTTGCTAAGTTTATGATGACCTGTAAAGCAACATGAAATAACTAATACTGTATATAATATGAAAAAAAATAGAGAGAAACCAAATACATCAATTGTTCCTTGTGTGGAAGTGATTCAACTCACTGTTAATGATTTTAAGCACAAGTTTTTCAGGGGAATGCATATACTGTAAGGGGACATATGTGTGTTCGTACCTTTAGGGCCTTCAACTGAGGAAGACTTCACTCAGATTTTTCAGAGCAAACACATTCTGACTACAGAATATTCATATTATTGATTTTCTATTGGATTCCTTGTCATCTAAAGGTGGTAATATATGTTCTTAAAATTAAAAACAATTAAGTTTATTTATTTATTTTGATAGAGAGAGAGAGCAGGGGAGGAGCAGACAGAGAGAGAGAGAGAGAGAGAGAGAGAGAGAGGGAGAGAGAGAAAGAATCCCAAGCAGGCTCCACACCAGCAGCACAGAGCCCAATGCAGGGCTGGAACCCATGAAGCACAAGATTATGACCTGAGCTGAAGCCAAGAGTTGAATGCTCAAACGACTGAGCCATCAAGGTGTCCCTATGTTCTTAAGTCCTATATCTCCTTTGGCACAATACATTTCTTTTTAAAACTTTTTTTTTTTAAACATTTATTCACTTTTTGAGAGACAAAGCACAAGTAGGGGAGAGGAATGAAGAGAGGGAGACCCAGATTCCAAAGCAGGCTCCAGGCTGTGAGCTGTCAGCACAGAGCCCAATGCGGGGCTTGAACTCACAAACTGCAAGATCATGCCTGAGTCAAAGTCAGAGGCTTAACCGACTGAGCCACCCAGGAGCCCCAAAATACATTTCTGAAGGCAAAACTCCACTTTTCTCTAGAGGTATCTGAAAAATATAAAAAATTCTTGCAGTTGAAGCAAGTTATGATGTTAAATTCTATGAATCCTACAGTTCTTGGACTCCCTTGATTTTGAGAGATATTAATGATAGATGGTTAAATAAAGGTGAAACTCTAGACCAGTCGCTGGCACACCTGTTCTGTAAAAGGCAAGACAGTAAACATTTCAGACATTATGGGCCATTTGGTCCCCATTGCTGCTACTCAAATCTGTTGCAGCAGATAAGCAGCCTCAGAAAATCCATAAACAAACGAACGGACACTGTGCTGATAAACAATGTATTTATACACGTTGGTATTCGAAGTTCACATAATTTTTGCAGATTAAGAAATAGTCTCATTCTTTTGATTAAAAAAATTATTTTAAAAAGTTAAAACATTCTGGGGCGCCTGGATGGCTCAGTTGGTTAAGTGTCCGACGTCGGCTCAGGTCATGATCTTGGGGTTCATGGGTTCAAGCCCCACATTGGGCTCTGTGCTGACAGCTCAGAGCCTGGAGCCTGCTTTAGATTCTGTGTCTCCCTCTCTCTCTGGCCCTTCCCCTCTCGAGCTCTGTCTCTCTCTCTCTCAAAAATAAAATAAACATTAAAAAATTTTTTTAAAAAGTTAAAACATTCTTCACTCATGAGACATATAACAACAGCAGATGGACCAGAGTTGGTCCGTGAGTTGTAGTTTCTGAACTCCTTGCTGAAAATCATTAACTCCCATGTGTGGTGTGTGGTGATCCCAGTGACTTCTATGCTTAATATTTTCAAAATTCAATGAATTTAATTCACATTTATTAAAAAATCTACGTGTAAGAAGTAAGAGGTGCTGTGAGATTCAAAGTGATGATAAGGGAATTCAGAAGGGAGGGACCAAAGTGTCCACGGCATCCTGTAACAGGCACTCATGGGAACTCCTGCTCTAAAAAAAATGCATAGACCTACTTACCACTTTACTTTGTCATTCTTGAACCTGAACGGAAACAGATTTCATGTCAAATCTGTGTCATTATGGTAAGGTTGCCAGGGTGGGGACTGACTGACTTCCATTTACTGTATTTGTTCCCAGAAGTACAGAGCAGTTCTCCCAGTTCCCTTAAGGATTAAGGTGGGGTTTGGGAATTAAGTGATAGACACACCTATGAGCAAGTCCCAGGGACTAACTATTCTCCTTGTGCTCCACAATTCAGCCTCTCAGTCATACTTTACTCCCACCCAGTGTGTTCCACTCTGCTGGCCAGTTAATCAGACAAAGCAGGAGACAAGTATGGGCTGGTATGAGATGTCACAGCCTTGAAAGGGCAGTGCCATTCTAATACTCAAAAGCTGCAGCCTTTTAGAAACATGAAACTTGTTCTAATATGTGTGAAAAGACCTGTTAACCTTGGGAAAATATCACCAGCCACTGAGCAAACATTGTCTTTATAGAGTATATGCTTTCATGTCTCTTTCCAAGTCTCTTAACTCATCTTTAGCTTTAAGTTTTATAAGCAAAAGGAAGCGGGAGGGCTGCTAAAGAAGGGGACAGCCCTGGGGCACCTGGGTGGCTCATTTGGTTAAGCAACCGACCTTGGCTCAGGTCATGATCTCGCAGTTCATGGGCTCGAGTCCTGTGCCAGGCTCTGTGCTGACAGCTCAGAGCCTGAAGCCTGTTTCATATTCTGTGTGTCTCTCTCTGTCCCTCTCCAGCTCACGCTCTGTCTCTCTTTCTCAAAAATGAATAAAAATTTAAAAAAAATTAGGGGTGCCTGGGTGGCTCAGTCAGTTAAGTGTCTGACTTCGGCTCAGGTCATGATCTCACGTTGGTGAGTTCAAGCCCCACGTTGACAGCTCAGAGCCTGGAGCCTGTTTCGGATTCTGTCTCCCTCTCTTTCTCTGACCCTCCCCCATTCATGCTCTGTCTCTCTCTGTCTCAAAAATAAATAAACGTTAAAAAAATTTTTTAAAAAAAGAAGGGGACAGCCCTTAATCAATGACCTTGGATAAAGGAATCATCTTGTTTCACGTGTCCTTCCAACTCCCATTTTTAACCCTCGTAAGGCTCACTCGATGCTTTCCGAACATTCATCAATAGGTATACTCCTCAATCTTTTGTGAAGAATAATCTATATGGTCCTTTACTTTGGGCGCCCACCCAGTAAGAAGCAGATCTCGAACTCCACCCCTCCCCCCACCATGAGTGAAATATTTAAAATAGCTGTCAAACAAACTTGGATGCCTCCATCCCAGAGCACACCATACATTCGCAGAGTCTTCCCTTAGAGCAATTATATTTAAGTGAAAATAAAGCAATGTTTTTATTTTAATGGAAAGGGGAAAAATAAAGAAGCAATAGTAGAGGAACATGAGTTACAGAGATGGAAGAAGTCTCTGGAAGCGATCACTTCCTTTATTTGGTTATGTGCAGACTTAGGCTCAAGCCATACCTGAAAAGACAGTGAACACATCTCAAGGAGCCCAGACCCTCACCCAGAAGTATGCAGGGAGTCACCCACAAGGTTTGTTTTAAATCCCTCGCACCGTAATTTTTGACAGTGAATATTTATTGAGACATCAGCTAGTGACACTTAACCTCAAATAGGAAGATCCCTTGTCTTTCCCGAGATGAGGGCTGCACGTGGCATGTTCTCTACAAAAATTATTTTTGTCCTTACCCATGAGCTAAAGTCCTGGCTTAGAAGCAGGATACTGGGATACAATTACAGATTCTTAAATAGACCTGGAAGGAACTTAAGAGAGCTTAACGGGAGGATCACTCATCTTGGAAACAACAATCTAGAATGTCCTGGTGAGTTGAGTTTGCTTAGCTGGTCAGTGGATGTGCTAATTGGATCAAAGACAAATGGCTTTTTTTGTTTGTTTTTTGATTTTTTAAAAAAAAGAAATTTTTTTTTCAGGTTCTGAAAGTGGATCAGTTAGGTTTCTTTCATGCTACATGAATGGGCTTTTATGCAGAGACAACAGATTTCCAGTACAAAAGACAGGATTCATGCTGCTTCCTTTTTTCCACTGTCCCAGGAAAAGAGGTGTGTCCTGAGTGGGGAGGGAGTGGGGCTTCTTAGCTTGGACTCTTTTCTTTTCAAGTTTGTTTATTTTGAGAGAGAGAGAGGGAGAGAGAGAGAGAGAGAATGAGTGGGGGAAGGGCAGAAAGAGAAGGAGAGAGAGAATCCTAAGCAGGCTCTGCACTGTCAGCATAGACGCTGAGCTGGATCTCAATATGGCCATAACCAAGATGAGCCAAAACCAAGAGTCAGATGCTTAACCAACTGAACCACCCAGGCACCTCTTGCCTGGACTCTAAGCCAGATAGGCATATGATGGTAGTGGGGAGGGAAGGCAGACATTGTTCTGCAAGCCCCAGAGTCTCCTACAAACTGGATCTTGACTTGTCCTTTTAAGAGGGGAATAGTGATTCCAAGGGCAGGTCTCTTCACGTGCCACACCACTGGCAAGAAACAGAATGGGTCCTGTCATCTTAGGCTGCTCCAGGGAGAGGGTCAGATGGTAAGGCTATAGTCCTAGCCCCCACAGAGGGAAGCAGGCCATTGGATCTGGGCTGCTGAGGTCCCAATGGACCACACATATTTTAAAAAAAACGTAGTCAAATATAACTCCTCTTCAAACACAGCATTTTCCCCCAAATTAAACTGTTTCATTATAATGTATTGGCAAGAACGGTTTTATACTTTTGTTCCATAGGTTAGGACCAATTTGAAAGGCAGTTTGTTGAACAAAGGAAGGGATTCTCTGAACAACTAGGCAGCTGGAAGGAGAAAACACTGGAAATGGGAAACCCCTAACTTTAAATTAGGGAAGATGTGAGGCACCTGGGTGCTCAGTTGGTTAAGTATTTGACTTCGGCTCAGATCATAATCTCGTGGTTCATGAGTTTGAGCCCCCCATCGGTCTCTGCACTGACAGTGGGAAGCCTGCTTAGGATTCTCTCTCTCTCTCTTTCTCTCTCTTCCCCTTCCCTACTTCTCTGTCTCTCAAAATAGATAAATCAACTCAACAAAATAGGTTAGCCAAGACAGGCAGGGCTGTCTATGACTCCCAATTAAGGGTTCTCTCCAGGATACCAAGAGTGAAGTGCCTTCTGACCAAACTGTCTTAGGAAGTTTACAAAACTATGCATAATAAAAAAGAAAAACAACTTCTAGGGGAAATCAGGTGAAAAAGTCAAGTATGATGCTAAGGCCAAGGGTAACATTAACTCAGATGAGAATGGACACCAAAAGGTTTTATAATTCTAGACATGACCATAGATTTGGTTCAAGTTTTTTAGTAGCTCTTGGATAATCAACACATAATGGCTATGTGAATGTGTATCATTGTGTGTGAGTGTGTGTGTGAGTATGCATGAATATAAGTGAGTATGTGTGTGAGTATGTATGAGGGTGTGTACACATGTGTGTGCATGTGTGTGGTATTTGTGTGAGTGGGTGTGAGTGAGTGTTCCAAAGAAATGACTTTCCTTGCTACTGTTGCGAAGGCATATGGTAACTGGTAGTCTTTGAATGAGTTCAGCAAAGATTTGAGACTCTGATATTGGCCTATATAGATTTCTCAGTGACATGAAAGCTTGTCCGTGAAACACAAAACAGTAAATATATTAATATTTAAAATTTTGCTTTAAAATAATTTAAATTTTGAATAACTAAAATTTGTCTTTTTTTTTTTGCCATCAGATCTTGCCTTTCCTTATTGAAATATGGCTTATTCTAGCTAAAATTAACGTGAGCTTTAAGAATGAACATGATTTCTTTGAGCTCATACCAGCCAGGACTTCATGGCTTTGAGAAATATGATATAGACATTTCATAAACAGCCAAGCATAGCTTCATAATGTGGCATTTCACGCAGATCGCTCAGTGGTGTTTAGAATACAGTGGATCATTTTGGCTGCATGAGAGTTGAAAGATTAAAGACATCAAGATCACTATTTATTTTTTCTACAGCCTCAATTTGCTCATCCCCAAAATGGAAGAGTTGGTATCTACCCTACTTTGTAACTCGACCTCTGAATTCTTTGCCTCTTTTTTTACTGAGAAGTTATGTTGGCAATGCGATATCAACCTGTATTGTTGTATTTGTTGTTTTTAGCACAACAACACTAGTACCAGACACAGTTATTGAGTATGACCATGAACCATGCATTGTGCTAGATAGACTCTATGCCAAGAATAATTTCAATTAATCCTCACGTTAACTTGAAAAAAATAGCTAGATCATGCTGTTGCAAATGAAGAAATAGATTCTATAACTTGACAAGATCACCCAGTTCGTGTATAATTTAAATTCAAGGTTAAAATCAAGAACTATAAGGGGGTCCTGGGTGGCTTAGTCAGTTAAGCGTCTGACTCTTGATTTTGGCTCAGGTTATGATTTCACAGTTCGTGGTATCGAGCCCCATGTTGGGCTCAGCACTAATGGCATGGAGTGTACTGAGGATTCTCTCTCTCTCTCTCTCTCTCTCTCTCTCTCCCTCTCTCTCTCTCTCTCTCTCTCTCTGCCCTTCCCCTGCTCATGTTCTCTCTCTCTCTCTCAAAATAAATAAATAGACACTTTTTTTAAATCAAGAATTATAACAACTGGGAGTTTTTAAACCCTGTATTCATCTGAGACAATTTTGGACCATATATTGTCAGCAGAAGGTAGCACTATGTCAAAGATGGCTCAGCCTGCATGCAACTGAGGCTGTCGGGGGGATATGGGTTAGCTCTCCTCTCCTAGAAAGGACCACGAAACAGCTTATGAAAGCAGAAGACATGAGTCACTTCCAAACGATAGTTTCCACCACACTGGGCAGAGATACAGAGAATCAAAAGTTGGATATGTGACATTCTGCGCTGTGTAAGAGAAGGCAAAGTGTATAATGCGCTGGGGACACCAGAGCAGCCATTCAGATTTCTATTTTATGTACTTCTGTTTTCGCTTCGATTAAATAATTCAATTCTTTATTTCCACTCTTGCAAAGGGGAGAGGGGTAGAGATGGGAGCTGAACGAGAGGTAATATAAGTGACCCATTACAAATGGTACCATAAAAGCAAGCTAAAATTTACGGCTGAAAATTATTGTAAGTAAATAGTGATGTGGGCACAGGAATGCATTGGAAATTTGGAAGTGCTGTTTTCCCCTGTGTGAGAAAGATAGCAAGTTTGCCTAAAGCCTCAGTTCGTATGCGTTTATTTCCACTGGCTTTTCTTAACCTCAACAAACACTGTGTATCCCAACTCTGTGCTGTGTGCTTGCATCAACATACAAACACATAGCAATAGACTTTCTGGAGTCTCCAGAAGTCCTAGCTGCAAGATGGTTAAAATGTTTGCTGTTCTTGTCCACAATCTCTCTGGGAATATTTATCTTTTATGAGTTTCAAAAAAGATTCCTGGCCTTAGAGGAAAGACAGATGAACAAATTAACCCCTATGGGATTGCGCTGGCTGCTTCTGGTCATGCCACCTACTTAGACTAATCTTTTCTTCCTTATATCCCCATATATGGGGTGTAGTTTAATGAGGAAAATCATCAGTGGAATATTTATTGAGGAATCCAGAGGTCAATGCCACCCACCCTTTCCCCTTATTACTGGATTACAATAAAGATCGGGAAGCCTAATTATGTGGTGTTTGGTACTTTATACTGTGTGTGTTAAAATGCTCATCTGTGTTTGTTGGCATTGTTTCTATTTATTGTCTTTATGTATCAGTTTGAGGGTTTTTTTTTAATACATTTCAAATTACAATTGTAATATTTCAAGCTTTACACAGTGAATTCTTACAGGCTACATAGATGGCAGTGATATATGACACTATTATGGTGAAGTTTAGGATTCCTAAGATTAGGATCCATATAATGACTATTCTTTTAGGCCTGCTGATAATGAAAAGGAGAATGAAATGAGGATATAAAAACCCACTTTTTAAAAAACAACCTCTCTGGCTTTAATTCAGCACCTGATGGAAATTCAAACTTATAAATACCTTACTGAGCGCATAAAATAATGTTTACAGACGTGAAAGGGACCTGGAGAGAGAACATGATACAGGTGTCTGCCTGAGCATCTGAGGTTGGATGGTTATATATGGGACTTGTATTCCAATGACAACAGTTGGTTTGGCATGGGGGCCAACTGACCAGAATGGACAGCCATTGCTCTGAAGAAGGATTCTGGAGGGCCAATGTTGTTCTCCATCCTACGACCATGTTTTGCTGGGTAATGGGGAGGGAGTTGGGGATAAGCCACGGCATTGTGAGCTAGTTGGGGGGCCTGAACAGTAGCTATGTAGGAAACAATTTGGACTTGGACATAGGTCAATATTTTAACAAGGAATATGAGTCTACTAGATAAAACCACACACATACTAGCCCTACATATGCTTTCTTAGAATGAGCCTTCTTCTCTTTATAGAGCATTTTTCATCTAATACAAAGATTCTCAGTACATTCATCTGCAATCTCCTCAGTTGAACCATCCATGCTATGGACCTCTTATAAGAACTCTTCATTTATTTGAAAAGAGTCATTATTTTCCAGTTTTCTTCTCTTTTCCAAAGGAGTGAGGGAGTGGCTAAGAAGCATTTGAGCTTTGGGGTGAGGCAGATTTGGGGTTTGAATCAAAGTTATCAGTGTTACATCATAGTACACCGTTTCAAAACTCAGAGCATTTGTCTGTCTCCTTAGCTATGATGATGGCCACTCGCGGGAATTAAGTGAGGTGAGTCTGTGGACAGTGTTTGGCACAAGTTGGGGGGGCCTTATATGTTTCATACCATTTGTTCCTTTTTGTCTGTATAACCCCTGTATCATACTATAAGTATTTGTCCCGGGTCTCATCTCCCTTATTCCATAACAGGCAGCATCTCAGAAGGAGTGTGTTTCAAAAATTTCATCTTTGGGGCACCTGGGTGGCTCAGTCGGTTAAGCATCCAACTTCAGCTCAGGTCATGATCTCACGGTTCGTGGGTTCGAGCCCTGTGTCGGGCTCTGTGCTGACCGCTCAGAGCCTGAAGCCTGCTTCGGACTC